ATGCACCGCGCCGGGCCGCCCCGCACCGCGCCGGGCTGCGGCGGGGCCGCGCCGCACGGAACCGCGCTGTGCCCATGCAGGGCTGCACCTTGCAGCGTGCTGGGGCTGCACCTTGCAGCGAGCCCCTCTGCATCGCGCCTGGGCTGCTCCTTGCAGCGCTGGCACCCCCGGGAGGGCAGGCGGGACATGCACGGGCCCCGCCGTGCGGTGACCGGGCCTGCAGCGGTGACAGCTGCCACATGCCCAGCCGTAACCGTCACCATCACCGCAGGTCAGCGCCCGCCGTGGGAGGGCCTGCGGCRCGGGGCAGGATGCGGCCGCGCGCCGGTGCCGCTGCAGCGCGGCGCTCGCTCGGGTGTGGCCGGCCTGGCGCGCGGCGCCGCGAGGTGACCCCTCCAGGTCCCCTGCAGGCGCCGTTGCAGCCGCCACGTCCCCGTCCCTGCTTGGGCGGTGACCRTTCCCGCGCTGCTGTCCGAGCAGCCACTCTGGGTGTGTCCCGGGCGGAGCCGTGTCCGCAGGGATGCTCAGGGCTTCCCTATCCCGGRTGCACTGGGCATCTCCAGGGAGGGCGCAAAGGTCCCATCAGCACAAAGGACTAGGGTGGTTCGGTGCCCCCAGGGCTCGTTCCAGCCCCACGGGAGACCTGCCCCCGGCCCCTCACAAAGGAGCCTGGCCGTGCTGCATGCGCGGGCACTGCTGCACTGGGGCTCCGGGGCTGCGCTGCCTCCACACAGATTCCCGGGCTCGGACATCCCTGGTGAGGGTCACATCCAGCTACTGCAGGGGACAGTCCCTGGGTGCAGCGGGGCTGGAGCAGCAGCGCTGCCTCTGGCTGCTCCTGCTGCAGCCGGGATCCACGGCAAGGACAGGGACGGGTGGGGAGCTGCCAGGCTCGGTGACAGGAGCTGGGCACCCTGCGCTGGCACCACGGCTCAGTCCTGCCCGGGGGTGACCTGTTGTCCGTGGGCGGCTGTCATTTCTGCAACAACTGTCCCCAGTGGGTGACACCTCCCGCAGCCGGGGTCAGTGCAGGCACGTGGGCGACGGACAAGYGCCCTGGGCCCTGTGCAAGCCTGGCCAGGCACCGCTGCACGTCTGCCCACGCGTGTCCGCCCGYGCGGGGCCGTCCCCTGGCCAGTGGCATGGCCTGCAGCGCCCACCCGCTGCATGGGCCCCCGCCTCGTGTTGCACCGCATGGAGCCACCACTTGCAGCCCCTCRTCCTGCCCGGCCACCTCCCATCCCGGCTCCTCCGCAGCCTCCTCTCCCTCCCCATGCAGACAGGCCCAGAAGCGCTGGGCACTGGTGCCATGGGCCTGGACAGGGCAGGGGCGAGAGGCTCCCGCAGGGAGGCTGCTCCCGCATGGATGCTGCTCCCGCATCCCGCACTGGGGCCGGAGGGGCCCTGCCCGCGCCGGGAAGAGCCAAACAAAGAGCGAGGCGGGGAGACTCGGCGGCGGCTCCGTCTCCGCGTGCGACTCCCGCGATCCAGATCCGTCCGTCAGCGGAGGCGCCTTTCATCTCCGGGCTGCAGCGCCCCAGTTCCCCGGCGCCGCCCCGCTCCCGGGCCGCAGCCCTGGGCCGCGCGGCCCCGGCTCCAGGCTCGGCACCGTCCCCRCGCGTCTCGCGCGGGGCAGAGGTCCCCAAGTCACAGCTGTTTGATGCAGGGGGGCCGCGGCGCTCGTGGCCCCGGCAGCTGCTCCGCGGCCGCCGTGCCGGGAATGCCCAGCTGCCGGAGCTGGGAATGGCGGCAGGTGCGGGACCCCTGCCCGGGCCGGGGCCGCGCCACCGCCGCGGGATGTGGCCTTTGTCTGGAGGCAGCGCTTTGTGCAGGGTGCCTTGGGCCGGGGGCTGTGCAGCGGCGCTGCAGCGGGGGCCATGCAGCGCGCTCCTGTCGCTGGGGTCCATGCAATAGGGTCCGTGCAGCGGGGGCTCTGTGCTAGGGGTCTGTGCAGCGGGGGCTCTGCAGGAGGAAGCCATGCAGTAGGGGTTATGCAGCAGGGTCCATGCAGCAGGGTCCATGCAGTGGGGTCTCTGCATTAGAGGTCAGTGCAGCAGGGTCCATGCAGTGGGGTCTCTGCGTTAGAGGTCAGTGCAGCAGGGTCCGTGCAGGGGAGGGTCTCTGCATTAGCGGTCAGTGCAGCAGGGTCCGTGCAGGGGGATCTCTGTGTTAGGGGTTCAGGCAACAGGGACCGTGTCAGGGGGTGTCTGCATTAAGGGCCCATACAATAGGGTCCACGTAGCAAAACCTCTGCTTTAGGAGTCCAGGCAAGGGCTCTCTGCCTTAGGGGTCCACGCAATAGGGTCTGTGCAGAGGGGACTCTGCTTTAGGGGTCCACGCAATAGGGTCTGTGCAAGGGGTTCTCTGCATTAGGGGTCCATGCCATAGGGACCGTGCAGGGGCTTCTCTGCATTAGGGGTCCATGCACTAGGRTCTGTGCAAGGGGKWCTCTGCATTAGGGGTCCATGCAATAGGAACCATGCAGGGGGGACTCTGCAYTAGGGGTCCATGCACTAGGGTCCTCGCAGCGGGGTCTCTGCAGCAGGGAGCTTTCAGCCTCTGCTCCCCAATACCCCGGGGCTCCCTGGCTGCAGGGCATTGGGATGGGTGCAGGCCAAGGGCTGGCGGGGGGCTCCCTTGAGGGGAGCGCCGTGGGGACAGGGACACGTGGCACCCCGCGGGCCGCGGTCGCTGCTCCCCGTGCAGCGCGTTGGCTGYTGCGCCGCTCCGGCGGGTCGATCGCGTCTGACCTTCATCTGCCCAGCCACRTATGGATCCTGTCTGGGGAGGGGGTGCGGGGTCCCTGCATCCTCTTGCAGCCCCGTGCATGCCTCCACTGGGCATGCAACACCGCTGTGCACCRGCAGCATGCACCAGCAGCATGCAGCGCGTGCATGCCCGCGGCGCCAGGAGCGCGGGGTGCCCGCGGCCCCCCTCTCCCGGGATTTCCCGGGCTAATCCGGCGTTCCCGCCGCGGCGGGGCCRCCCGCCCTTGCAGAGCCATGCTCGCCAACGCGGCCACCATGCGGATCCTCATCAAGGGGGGGAAGGTGGTGAACGACGACTGCACGCTGGAGGCCGACGTCTACATCGAGAACGGCATCATCCAGCAAGTGGGCCGCGAGCTCATGATCCCCGGCGGCGCCAAGGTCATCGACGCCACCGGCAAGCTCGTCATCCCCGGCGGCATCGACACCAGCACCCACTTCCACCAGACCTTCATGAACGCCACCTGCGTGGACGACTTCTACCACGGCACCAAGGTAGCGGCGCGGGCGCCGCCGCGGCCGCCCCGTGGCTATTTAAATCCGCCCTGCTTTGCCGCAGATTATCCCGCGGTTAAAGCGGGATCGCCGCAGACCCTGCGGGCGCTGCCGGGACAGGGCTCGGGGTGCCCACGTGAGGGGGTGTTTGCAGCCTGYGCACCCAAGAGCGCGGCCGGGCGCCGTGCACGGTGTCCCCAGGGCCGCGTGGCTCCGGCCCCGGCACAGAGCGGCCTTTGTGCGGCGCCGGCCGTGCCAGGCGCCGGGTGCATCCCGCGGGGCTGCAGGGCTGTGCATGCTCCGCTCGGCTCCATGCGGCTCCGCAGCGGCTCCGGCCCGGGGGGGCCACAAAGGAGCTTTGGGGATTAGCCGGGCCGGGTGAGCCGGGGACGCCGGCTCCCGCCCCGCCGCTCACGCGCGCCGCCGGCCCCGGGCATGGCCGGGGGGGGATGCCAGGGGGGCTTGGCCGGCAGAACGATGGGGTTTTGCTCACTGACACCCGCAGGCTGCCCTGGTGGGGGGCACCACGATGGTCATCGGGCACGTGCTGCCCGACAAGGAGACCTCGCTGCTGGACGCCTACGAGAAGTGCCGCAGCCTGGCCGACCCCAAGGTGTGCTGCGACTACGCGCTGCACATGGGCATCACTTGGTGGGCGCCCAAGGTGAGTCTGGGGCCAGCATCCCTGGGCAGCGCGGCGTTCCTGGCAGCACGGCATCCCAAAAGCCCAGCATCCCTGGGATCAC